TAAAACTGAACAAAAGAGGAAGTGTTCTTGAGGCTTTCTACACTCATTTTGCACTTCTATTACGGTAGGGATTCTCCTACTTTGGTTCATTCCTATTTAAAATGTTATATGTATTGTGTAGGATTTCTTCTATTTGGATCGATTCTTAATCTAGAATGCCCATATGAAATGGTTAGTGGTATAAAATGTTTTATAACTTGCCTATAGTCATGGAAATGGTGAATTAAGTATGGACAAAGTTCTAGTTAAATTTGTTATGTAGGAGTTCTGTAAATAATTCCTTGATACTTGATGATATTTGATGTGTGTGGGGGCAATATTGTATGCTTACATGATTGTTGCCTAGGTGTTTGCTAAAATGTCTAAGTGTGAATTAAGATTGTTATGACATGACAATGTATAACATGCTTATAGAATGTGTTGTTTATATATATTGACATTGTAATGATTCATGAAATTTATATGCTTATGATATGAATTACCATGGGATTGTCTATATATGTAGTTGATCTAGCTCATTGGGCANTTTATATATATTGACATTGTAATGATTTATGGAATTTATATGCTTATGATATGAATGAATTGTCTATATATGTAGTTGATCTAGCTCATTGGACAACATTGCACATTGGGCATGACATAGCATCACATTCAAGGGCTACATGCATGAGTGTGGGTGTATGGTTGCATGGGGTGATCAACACCAACATTGGTGCTTGATGGTGGGCTTAAAAAAGTAGGATGGAACGTCCTACGGAGTTGCACGGTTACATGCATAAGAAAACTTGTGCCGGGTATAGCAAGTAGGGCTAGACACTCCCTCGGGTGAAAAACCCGGCTACTTGGTTCATACATTTACCGGTGGTGAAATTCCAAAAAAGTGTAACGGCATACGGAGCCGAAAGTGCGATTCCTGAATCCGATACCCCATAAAGGCACATGATTTTGATATACAAATTATTCATTTGATGGGAAGCATCCAAGAATGAATTGGTTTTATGACATATGGTTGATTTCAAAATGATCTTTGGATGTGTTTCATCAAAGACGTTTGTTTTACACATATAAGTCGCATTGTGTTGTAGGAGTCGGTGTGGGCTCGGGATAGCATGCATAAGTGAGTTTCATCTCATTACGTGACATGACATCATGAGATTCTATCTTGAATAACATATTCTTATTTGGAAGAAGTTGTTTGTGGCATATGCGCATTGCATACGCATTTTAGGTGGGAAGTAGCCTCTATAGGAGTTTTTCTACTGAATATTGGCTCACCCTATATGAGAAACATTTCAGGTGGGAGAGGTACACCGGTGGATGGCTCAAATTTGGACCCACATGTTTGAAGAAAGCCAAATGTGGCTTTATTTTGTGTTGATGTATAATATTTATGGAAAGAATGTTTTAAGTATGTCATCTTTTTAATTATAATAGAACTTATATGGATGATTGGACCCGGTGTGACCAATATTTAATTATAATTGGACCCGGTGAGGTCAAGTTTTACTTATAAATAGACCATGTGTGGTCATTGTGTTATATGAGGCCTCGGATGGGTCATGTTAATGTATATTGCACAGGTTGTGTTTTGGGTAGAGCTCCCCATACAAAGGAGACTCTGCTTGAATTTTGTTAAATTAAGGACCTGGGTAAAGGGGGCATAACAGTGTGATATCGAACTACTCAGTATCCACGGGCATTCTGCGGGTTGATGGGTAATCAACGGACCCCCGGATTTTAGGGCGTTACATGAACCAAAGAAGCTTATGCCAAGGAACCAAAGGTTGTCTATACCTTAGTTCCTCCAGGGCAGAAGAAGAGGAGAATGAGCCATTGGGGGTAAGCTACCATTTAACAATATCTTTCATATCAGGTCTAGGAGAGTAGGATGACATGGATACCTCAATTTGCAGCAAGTCATTGTTGTTTCTAGCATTAGCCCTGGGCCATCTCCATTGATTACCATGAATAATATGGCAAACTTTAGCATTCATATTGAGGCCAGAATCATACATAATTATGGGAGTCCATCTAAGCATTAGAGGACCAGCAGGATGCCAATTATCAAACCACAGTGATGTTTCTCTACCATCGCCAATAATGTGGAGCAAGAAAGGTCTAGCAAAATCCCTTATCTTCAAAAGTTTCCTCCAATTCCATGAACAAATGTGAGGGGGCTTGATAGTCCAAATGCTTCTTCCTTTCAGATAATAGTCTCTCACCCATTTAGACCAAATATTACTTTCATCATAAATTAAATGCCAAAGGTGCCTGAGCATTAATGCCTTATTCCAAGCCTTAAGATCCTTAACACCCAGACCACCTTCTTGTTTTGGAAGGCATACTTCCTTCCCTGAAACTTTAGCTCCAACTATCCTAAGCTCAGCTTCTGTACAAAGAAAGGCCCTTAGTTTTTGCTCAACATTGTTAAGGACACTCTTGGGAAGAATCAAGTGACTAGACCAGAAGATATGAATTTTGGATAGGATTGAGTGGATGAGTTGTAATCTTCCTGCAAAAGAAAGGAATCTAGAAGCCCATGATCTCATTCTTGCCTCAACAGATTCCACCAAAGCAGCACAATCATTGACCCTCAGCTTCGTAGTGATGATAGGGATACCCAAGTACCTAATAGGTAAGTTGCCCAAAGGAAAACGAAAACACTCCACAATTTGTAGTTGCTGAGCCTCAGACACCCTAGAAAGAAAGATATTGCTCTTTAGTGGATTAGCTTTAAGGCCTGAAAGAACTTTGAAAGTCTCCAAAGAAGTCTTCAACTCTCTAGCAGAATTAATATTACCATGATATAATAAGAAAAGGTCATCTGCAAAACTCAATTGAGCAATTCTTTGTTTGCTGCATCTCCGGTGGTATCTGAACTCTTGAGCTGCATGAATATTTCTCATAATGATCTGTGTTAGAACTTCCATTCCAATGACAAAAAGATGTGAGGACATAGGATCCCCCTGCCTAAGACCTCTTTGACTAGGAAAGTAGCCAGTCAATTGACCATTAACACAGACAGAAAACTTTGGTGATGTAATACATGTTTTAATCCAGTTGATCATCATCAGTGGAAAGTTGAGAGTAGCTAAAGTATCAATCAAGAAGTCTCATTCAAGCATATCATAAGCCTTCATAAGATCCATTTTTATTGCACACCTAGGAGGCCCATCATCCTTGTGGTAGTTCCTTATAAGCTCTTGAACTAAGAGAATATTATCCCCTATTCTTATTCCAGCAATAAAACCAGATTGAAAGGGACTAATTAGCCCAGGTAGAAATGGCTTAATTCTATTGGCAATGATTTTTGAAATAATCTTATAGAGGGTGTTGCAACAAGAAATTGACCTGTAGTCACTCATAGTAGTGGGATTGGGCACCTTTGGAATAAGTGATATGATTGTGGAGTTGATTTCCTTGAGCATTTGACAAGTGATAAAAAATTCCTGAACGGCAGAAATAACCTCATCCCCAATAATAGGCCAAACCTTCTGAAAGAAACATCCATTAAAACCATCAAGACCAGGGGCTTTATTAGCAGGGAGAGAAAAACATACCTCTTTGATTTCAGCACCTGTAACCTCCTTGCAAAGCATTCTAGCCTGATCATCAAAAATAGTGTGCTGGATAAGGTCCCTAATTGTAGCTTGTCTAACAGTAGACTGATGACCGCTGCTTCTAAACAAATTCTAGAAATAATGGACTGCTTCATCTTTGATCTGCAAATCCCCCTCAACCATTGTACCATCCTTTCTTTTGATAGAAGTTATCCTAGATTTGTTGCTTTAAAGAAAAAAGAAGTGTTTTGATCACCAGCTTTGAGCCATTGAATTCTAGATTTTTGTTTTAAGAACTCCTCTTCAATTTTTATTGCCTCAATGAATTTCCTAAGCAACTCCTTCTCTTGAGTCCTAAGATCATGATCCAAGGGCTTATCATCAAGTTTCCTCTGGCAGTCGGCTAGAACAATTCTTGCTTCATTAGCTATAGCAGTAACATCACCAACCTAAGCTCTGTTATAATTCTTGAAATCATACTTCAACAGTTTAAGCTTTTGGCTTACTTGGAATTGCATTGTTCCCCTCACATTAGTATGCCACACATTATTGACAATATCAAGAAAATCACTTCTATCAGCCAAAAAATTGAAGAACTTGAATGAACATTTCCTTGGTCTTGCTCTCTGTCCCAACTTGACAATGGCAGGGCTGTGATCAAAGATACTAGAGGTAAGAAAATTAGCTGAAGATCTTGTGAATAGCAAATTCCACTCCTCATTAACCATGACTTTGTCAAGTTTTTTAACTGTGCAATCTTGAGGGTTTCTCCTGTTACACCAAGTGAAGAGAACACCCAAGAAGCAAAGGTCACCAATACTAGAATTTTGAATACATTCTTCAAATTCATCCATGGCTTTTGTTCTTCTGTTGCTCCCCCCTTCAATTTCCTGTATATTTCTTACCACATTGAAGTCACCCAAAACCACCCATGGTCTAGATATATTGCTCCTAGCATGAGACTCTAGATTACTCCAAAGTGTCCTCCTTTCTCTATCATCATTGGCCCCATAAATGAAGGAAACAAGGAACACAATCCTACTTTCAAGATGTTGAACCTCACGGTGAACAACCTGATCCATTTCTTCAATTTTGAAAATCCTGAGAATATTTGGGTTCCAACCAACCCTGATTCTACCAAGAATATGACTGGAATAATTATCAAAGAAGTCTCAACCTCTAAAGACATCTCTCATAATGCTACCCTTATTAACAACCCTGACTTTGGTTTCAATTATACCAACCAAATTCAGCTGTTGTTCAAAAATAAGCTTTCGAACCTCCAATTGTTTAGGGGGAGAGTTCAATCTCCTAATATTCCAACATGCAAAATTAATCATTTATGTCTTGGTGGATGGTGGCTTTGGGATGTAGAAATCCCCCTTTTATCTCTATTTGGTGACTTGTGCTGTTTCCTTAGTTGCCCAATTGGTATACCATCAATGTTCTTAATTTTTGTAGCCAGAACACTTGATTCAGGAGAAGCAGATTTTTCCAAATCTAATTGCACAAGACCTTGCAGTTCAATAACAAGATTATCAAATTTGTTGCTAGTGGTGATGTTTGGAATTACCTGAGGAGCAGGGGTGGTGGTATGAAGCTCAGTGATAGTAGACTCATAGATCATCATCTGGTTACTTGTGCTCTCATTATCCACATTTCTTTAATCAACCTTGTCACTCTCCTTTTCTTTGCCAACTTCAACAGTGGAGGCTATTTCTTTGCCTTTGTCAAATTGTTTCTCTTTTATTGTCCACACTTGCTTTCTTGCACAGTTTGTACTAGTGTGGCCAAAAACATTGCAATTGACACAAGTTTTAGGCTTCCATTGATATTGAACCATAATTTCCACAATCTCCACATCTTGGTAAGCTTGGGAACCTTGCATTTTCAATTCAAAGGAATGAATGGGAACTTGAGCAGCATCAATCTCAACACATACCCTAGCAAAGCTAATTCTTTGTTGTGTCTTGGTTAGCCCATCAGCATAAAGTGGTTTCCCAACTGCACTGGAAATATAGCTAAGACCTTCTTCATTCCAATACTCAAGTGGAAAATTATAAAGCTTCACCCAAACTGGAACTTTAGTGTGTGCTTCCTTCTTAAGAATCATTCTAGGTTGCCATTTCTTGAGGACCATAGTTCTACCAGAGAATAACCAGGGGCCATCTTCAAGGACTCTAGATCTTGAGTTGTCATCAGAGAATTTGAAAAAGAAGAAATCTTGCTCATTAGCAAGCACCTCTATGAGGCCCTGAGCATTCCACATCCTTTGGGCAATCATCTTAACCACTGAAAAGGGCAAACTCTTTTCAATAAAGTATCCAACCAAGCTATTTTGCCAATTCTTACAACCCGTATCTACAACCGCCGGTGGTGGAGCCACCACTATTTTGGACCCATCTCCTTGAGGTTAAAAATATTTTAATTTCATGTGGTTGCGGGTAATAGAAGGAGCTCCATGACCCAAATCCATTGTAGTTCCTCTTTTCAGCACACTGCACCATGTAGCCTGTGCAGTCTTATCACACCTTTCACCGGCTGATGAGGGTATAGGGGTGGGGGTTTTTGCTAGCAAGCCAACCATACCCATAGGAGTAGACTGTGCTTGCTTTGACAGCATAGCAGAATCTTGGGAAGTGGAAATAACATGAGAACTTTTCTCACCTAGTGGCACATGAGTTTCACCTTCCATGTTCCTCCTTTTGCTGAGTCTTCTTGTGACTGTACTCCATTTTCAAAAGTAGCATTTATAGTCTTCGTATTCACTGTGCAAAGTGTAGAACCATTTGGAATGTCTTTAAAGGTTGATTCCCCACCATTAAGACTAAGGTTACATGGAGGCGATGATGAGGTTAAACAACCAGTAGCTGGGTAAGCTTCTGAAACTTTGGAAACTTCTGGGAAAGTTCTAGTGGGTATCTGGTCTGACATTTTAGATATGGTAGCTTCAAGTGTTTGGTTGGTTAGCATGGTGGGAAAGTAGTGGAAGGAATGAATGAAGGTTGCATCAGATTTGGGGAAAGGATGAGGTTTAAGACAGTGGAAAGTGCATAAGAAGGGCCACGATGAAAACCAAAGAAGATAAGCGAAGGAGGAGACGGAAAAAGGTGGGCAGAAGCTTGGGATTCAAGGAGGTTGGGGATGAAGGTCTCTCATCTCGTGACCACTGAATGTCCCTTTTTTGTTTTTGTTTTCAGTAGGATCGAATCAAGGAATTTTAGTCTACAGGTGATTGCCGCCTTTGAATCCCCCTTTTGCTATCACATAATTTTCTAGTTTTCGCTTTGAAGTGGGATATATAGTTATGTAGCTACTGTGCTTTTTCCTTGGGCGCTTATCTTTGGCAAGTGCAGGTATATAGACTTACTAGTAATAATCCGTGCCTAAAGGCACTTTAAAACTTAAAAAAATCTCTTTAATTTGAAATATTTTTTTTTCATTTGTTTTTATGAAAGAAATTGAAATCAATCAAACCTCTGTTTTTTTTTCAACAAAATTTCATTTGAAAATGAGAATTCGGAAAAATTTCAATCTATCTACATTGCTAATATATCTCGTTGTATATATCACTATCAAACACAAATCATTGCATTGTCCAACACAAACCACTGCACTCACTCAAGAAAAAATTACTTAACCTAACTCAAAAACATCCTCATATTTTAATCACTATCCAGTCCAAACCAAAATAACAAATCTTAATAACAAAAGTCACAATCACATGTTATATACGCAAGTCTAACCAAAGATTGACCCATGGCTGAAGATGTTGTGTAATAGAAAAAAATTTCTATTTTGAAATAAGTTGAAATAAGCTTAATTTAAGCTTATAAAGCTAAAGGATATAATGCATATCAAATAGAAAAAAACTTCAAATAGTTTCTTTCAATGTTACAATAACCAAATGAATTAAAAGGAATCTTACTTCCCATGTCTTAATTTTTCCAAGGAGATTGACTTAAAAAAAGACTTCTAGGACAATTTAAGTTTCCGTCCCATAGCATTTTGCGCACTATCAACAACTGCATGATCAAATTCATAATTAATTCATAATCTTGAGATTTGCCGAATTAAGAGTTATCCAATTTCAGTATTAAGTTATTTTAAATACCAAAATTGCACAACAAAGATCAAATTTCTTTTAACTAAAATCAAACGTAAATGTTGCAACAAAAAAAGGAACATATTCAATATTTGCATGTTAAGTTAAGTTTTTCACAACGTGATTCAAGGTTTAATGTGATCAATGATGAAGTATTTGAAATTCATGAAGTTTGATTCAGGCTAGAAGACAATACTAAGTCTGAGGGTGATGAAGGTGATTCTATCATTGAAGAAAGTGAGAGTTAAAAGGAGTCAAGTAAGAATCCTTTGACCCAACCCTATATACAGTCAGGCAACCCCACATCTGCTGTGGGGAGCCACACTTGCATAGTTCTATGAAAGGAGTCTCATCAACAATATATTAAAGTGATTTGTAAACCACAACTTTAAAAGCGACTCACTTTTTATTAAAAAAAGGCATCTCAAGTGACCACACCAATCAGTTTAAAAAAAGAGTGACCACACCAATAACCCTATGACCCAAATCCAATACAAACACCATTTCACAATAATGGTGCATACTCACTTCGTGGACCCCCACTAATTTTAGATCGAAAAACGTATTGTGATCCATTACATCCAAAGCTTAGGTAATTTGAAATGAGACCAACATAAAACTATAAATATTTGTTCTGTAGCACTAAACATGATAATAAAGAGCTTAGAGTTAGTAAACAAAAAGGACAATTAATTTATGACAACAAAAATTCTAAAAAAAACATTCACCCACGTATCCATATACCCAAATCTATATCAAAATCAACTCATGAACACACAACCATCAAAAGAATATATGTTGGTCTATATATTTGATCGCATGAAAGATAGAAAAATTTACCAACCTGACTTTGGGCTCACATCGAATATTTCAACTTTTCATCTTCATAGCCCACACCAACAAAAACCACACCACACCCAAATTCTAAATCCCAAACATAATGTATACCTTAGTTCAACAAAATTCAAGCCCCCAAACCTATTAGTAAAAAAAAACCCACGGCATTGGTGATTGCGTCAATTCATTGTCATATAAACAACCATCAAAGCAAGAAGCAAATGTACAAAGTCACAACAACAAATATTCAGGAAATTGCTCAATATGAACACACAGAGCTAAAGAAAGGAAAAACGAGTAAGTACCTAAAGAGCTCGATGTGGTCCATGAACTTGTGAATTATCAAAAGTTACCATTAACTTGCTCAAGGCGCCTGACATATTTTTTCAATCACAAAGTATTAATCACAATAAGCCACCAACAAAATTCCAACATACAATCTCAATCAATTACCATACAATCTCAATCATAATAACCATACAAATCTTATTTCATGGATATAACACACAACATTCAATCAAAAACACTAAAAAATATATTGCAACCCTATGTAATGAAAAACCCCATTAACACCCAAAATTAAGCACTGCTCTTGTCCACATACAATATGGCTTACTCCATAACAGTTCAACTCAAGCTTCAGAACATGAAGGAAAATTATTTCATCAGGAACCGGAATCATACATCACCAACACTTCTCTATACAAAGCAATTACAAAAATGGATGAATTAAAAGGTCATTTCCAATTATAGAAACAAAAATGAAAACACACTAATTAATTTGTCATTAATCCCCGAACACTACCGAGTTCGTGTTCACCCCATAATGAGCTACTATCACAAAATTCTAAAAAATAAATTCTTTTTTTTTCGCAAATTACATAAATTAAAACCAAAAAGACGAAAACCTTTACATTAGAAGTACACCCATAGTATTTCTCCGTAGCAAAGACTTTCAATCAAATTACCAAGCTCCTAGCGAATTGGGTGTGATGTAAAAGAGAAAGTGCATATAGTATTTCTCTCAAGAATTTCAACAAATAATTAATCTGCAATATGATTTCTGCCATAAACCAAAAAAAATTGTGGTTGTGGTGTTGTGTTTGAGTTGGGTGTGTGAGTGTGATTATGTGTAGGGGTGTGTGTTGTGTGTGCTGAACAATGGGTAGATGTACTCTTTGTGTGCTTGTAGTGAGTGTGCTCTGTCTCTCCCTAGCAATGGACTCTTACTTTCAAGCACTGTGTAACAAACCCAACAAAAGTTCAAAATTGAGTTGTGTGTTTAGATATCTAACCGAGTTGTGTGTTATTACCAAAAGAATATCAATTGAAAAAATAGTTTAGATATACCATCAGCTAAGGGTTGGTTAGAGAGATACTTGACCGTTGGTAGAGCTGGGAAGCATCGCCTTTGTTGTCGCTACTAGTAGGCGGTGGTTTCCTTCGACTGATATGGAGGTGGGAGAACAGAGAGGAGAGTGAGAGAGAAGGAGGTAGAGGAGCAAAGAGAGGNAGTGACCACACCAATAACCCTATGACCCAAATCCAATACAAACACCATTTCACAATAATGGTGCATACTCACTTCGTGGACCCCCACTAATTTTAGATCGAAAAACGTATTGTGATCCATTACATCCAAAGCTTAGGTAATTTGAAATGAGACCAACATAAAACTATAAATATTTGTTCTGTAGCACTAAACATGATAATAAAGAGCTTAGAGTTAGTAAACAAAAAGGACAATTAATTTATGACAACAAAAATTCTAAAAAAAACATTCACCCACGTATCCATATACCCAAATCTATATCAAAATCAACTCATGAACACACAACCATCAAAAGAATATATGTTGGTCTATATATTTGATCGCATGAAAGATAGAAAAATTTACCAACCTGACTTTGGGCTCACATCGAATATTTCAACTTTTCATCTTCATAGCCCACACCAACAAAAACCACACCACACCCAAATTCTAAATCCCAAACATAATGTATACCTTAGTTCAACAAAATTCAAGCCCCCAAACCTATTAGTAAAAAAAAACCCACGGCATTGGTGATTGCGTCAATTCATTGTCATATAAACAACCATCAAAGCAAGAAGCAAATGTACAAAGTCACAACAACAAATATTCAGGAAATTGCTCAATATGAACACACAGAGCTAAAGAAAGGAAAAACGAGTAAGTACCTAAAGAGCTCGATGTGGTCCATGAACTTGTGAATTATCAAAAGTTACCATTAACTTGCTCAAGGCGCCTGACATATTTTTTCAATCACAAAGTATTAATCACAATAAGCCACCAACAAAATTCCAACATACAATCTCAATCAATTACCATACAATCTCAATCATAATAACCATACAAATCTTATTTCATGGATATAACACACAACATTCAATCAAAAACACTAAAAAATATATTGCAACCCTATGTAATGAAAAACCCCATTAACACCCAAAATTAAGCACTGCTCTTGTCCACATACAATATGGCTTACTCCATAACAGTTCAACTCAAGCTTCAGAACATGAAGGAAAATTATTTCATCAGGAACCGGAATCATACATCACCAACACTTCTCTATACAAAGCAATTACAAAAATGGATGAATTAAAAGGTCATTTCCAATTATAGAAACAAAAATGAAAACACACTAATTAATTTGTCATTAATCCCCGAACACTACCGAGTTCGTGTTCACCCCATAATGAGCTACTATCACAAAATTCTAAAAAATAAATTCTTTTTTTTTCGCAAATTACATAAATTAAAACCAAAAAGACGAAAACCTTTACATTAGAAGTACACCCATAGTATTTCTCCGTAGCAAAGACTTTCAATCAAATTACCAAGCTCCTAGCGAATTGGGTGTGATGTAAAAGAGAAAGTGCATATAGTATTTCTCTCAAGAATTTCAACAAATAATTAATCTGCAATATGATTTCTGCCATAAACCAAAAAAAATTGTGGTTGTGGTGT